TATAAATTCCCTCAGAGAAATTAACTCTGAAGCAGTTCAGCAAAGGATATGAAGGCAGAAATCAGCAACAGAATTTGGCTCTGGCTCTTGGGCTACTACCAACCTCTCTTAAAATATGTATTTTTATTGTTCTAGACCTAAGTGCATGCAGTTCTTCACAGCAAAGGCTGCCATGAGCTGGGGCACAATGACCAACCAGAAGTGCTCAGTTCCAACCACGAACAAAAGATATTCAAGAACTACTTTTGTACAGTTGGGTTAAAAATATCTAAGAAAGAGTACAGATCAACTGGTGACATATCTGAAGATGTGGCACATATTTAGACTGGCATAACAAAGAGAATGTAGGAGAAGAGCAACACCTAACAAGACAGTGGACAAAATCCATACACAGAGCAGACTTCTGCTCTGTATGCTAAACAAGTCACAATTCAACCCTTGTAGGAAAACACAGGAATGCTAGATAAGAGCTTTTAAAACTGTGAATGATGATTTTGATCAAACTTTGCATCATTATTGCTTTGGGAGTCCTAGGACAGGAAAGGTCATGTTCAGCACTGTTCTGAACTTCACATCTGCACTGAACAAGCCTGCAGGAAGATACTAGGCTTCCCAGCTCTGTCACTGCTCTAACATTGGATGGGTAGCAGGAAGCATGGGGAAAAAAATGAATTTTCCACAAGACAGTCCCTGTAGTGAATGAATTACAGGACTTAAAAATTAACTACCCAGACTGACTAAAATTAAGTTTGCAATTAAACAGAAGACCAAAACAGCTGTTCCAGTAAGAGTCGATATTCAAGACTGCGAGTTTAGCTCTATAACAAACAGAATTTCATTTTATGATAGCTGTTGCAGAAGTTTCAGTGGCACAATCAGGAAAGCAACTGCAAATGAAGGGTCAGGGCTATGAGTGTGCTTATAGAAACCTGCCTCTTTCCAGCAAAACAGGGACCAAGGGAGAAGAGAGCCATATCATTCTCTTTTTTGTATTCCCACATACATCCACACCAAATGCCCACGAGATTTATACGTAAGTGAAACACTGCAACAGTAAGTTGTTCAAGAAGTGGAATTCCCCATAGAGCTGTGACTCTTGCCAACTTCCACAGGCACTTTATCTACTTAGGGACAGTGGGGATTTAATGATGTTGCCTTCTGCCTCTCTAACACACCCATATCCTCAGTAATGGGTGCATTTTTTTAAGTGAACAGATCCCTGACTGATCTCTGTCCAATTCTGCTGTATTTGGTGACCACAGCTGGCAAATGGCTTCTCTGGACCAGAAGGCAAAGTTCTCTATAAGCTGTCAGGAGGAAAAAGAACAAGTTGAAATTTGGGGAAAGAAGTCCTTGCCCTACTGAAGTCTGAGGTGATCACCTGTAATGACACATTCAAATGGATGGTTTGCAATGAGAACATGGTATGTGTTGGAAATCAGAAGAAAATCGCCTCAAGTCAACTTTCTTTTGTCCAGACTGAAAAACCTTATTGCAACACTAAGCTCTTAAAAGGATTACTCCACTGTGATTACCTTGGCCACAATGTGCATCTAAAGACAAGCAAAACACCCAACTACAGAGCAATAGCCTATAATCAGGGCTGAGATTTGATAAAGGCAGTTAGAATAACTCAGAAAGCAGTCATTTCACAAAGAGCAACAGCAAATGGAAATATCACCATTACTTCGTGTCTAGAGTAACCTTTATTTTATTAGAGTGGCAGTGCTATGGTCAGTGCTTTACAGTCCAGAATCAACTGTCCTGCAGTAAATGCATAAGAACCACAAATTCAACAACAGGCTTGCTTTATATCCTGTGTACAGGCAGGAGAAAAATGCAGCCTTCCTTGCAGAATTCTAATTTTCAATCCTCTGCCCCAGACTCACTACAAGCTCGGGTCACTGTAGAAGAGCAGGGCTTGCTGCAACGCAGTTTGCAACAAACACAGTAATAACAAAGCTTGAAATGGAAAGCAAGTGTGAAATCTGCAGAATTCTTCATGGTTTGTGCAGTGTTACTCACATAGCTCACACTGAGGCAACCCACCAAGTATTCATCCAGAAGAGTTTACAACATGGAATGCCAGTAACTAGGTGATTACTAACTGCTAATACACATTTCAAGGAAAAAAATAATCACTGTGTCAGAACAACATGTTTCCCTTCTATGACAACGTAACAAGTCAAGGAACATGGAAGCAGCAATGCATATAGCATCTGGACTTCAGCAAGGCTTCTGACAGCATCTTACGTGCTCTTTACACAAGTAATTAAGAAAAAATATGTATTCAGAACTAGCTTACAATAGTGTATACAACTCACTTAAGAACAAACTCAGAATTGATCACTGTCAAACTGGCACAATGTATCTTCAAGAGTTTGTCTGGAGTCCAACAGTATTCAACAGTGTTATTAATTATCTACATAATGCAGTATATGGCATTGTTATTAAAGATCACGTTACTGTGGGAGCTGCAACCCTATTATAGCATCAAAAGCTAAATCAAAATGGTCTTGACAAATCTGGGGAGGAACCGAGGGATTGGATTTCTTCCTGTTTGTTTTAATAAAGACAAATGTAATGTACACTTCAATAAGAATCTTTATCTATACAAGATGGAAAAATTATTTGCTTGCCAGAAGTTGTGCAGAAAGTAATCGGGAGCAATAATGCATCAGAAAACAAATATGCATCAACAATATATTTAAATTACAGTTTTTGAAGGCTGATGTACAAAATTAGTATCTTTGGTAGGGCAGGGGAAGCAATTCTTCCCCTCTAGATAGCACTGACATGGCCTAGGTTACAATCTTAGGTCCAGTTTTGGGCATCACATTTCTAGAAAGAAATGAAGCAACTGGAGAGAGTCCAGGGAAGGAGGGGGGACGGGGGGGACGGGTGGTGACGAAAGAAGAAAGAGAGACTGGAGGTCTAGAAAACATGATGTACAAGGAAAGATTGAAAGAACTGGGTTTGTTTAGTCTGAAGAAAAAGACTAAAAAGAGACATGATAACAGTCTTCAAATATGTGAAAGATTGTTACAAGAAAGAAAAACTATTTTCTACATATACTCCAGATAGAACTAGAAACAACAAGCTAAGAGAGCAGCAAATGATGTTTTTAATGCTTAACCGACAGAAAAATTAAACATGTGAAATACTTCCACTAGAGGCTGTGGAAACATTAAAAGTTTTTAAGAACAAACATGCCTGGAACCAGACAGGTATAAAAGGTTCTCACAGGACTGCTGAATGGACCATATGACTTCCTCAGGTCTTATTCAACACACTTTGATACTGTTGTAGGCATAAAACTTAATTCCCTTCCTTCTGCTTGTGAGCACTTGTTGAGTTTACAATGACTAGTCTATCTTAAAAGAAAAACTCTTCTTTCTAGAAAGACAAGAAATTCTTCGTAGAAAACGCAAGAACCACTGACATTCCCCAAACTGTCCTTTCCAAACCACAGTACAACAGGAGACAAGCATTGCCACTCATTACAGATGAGGAACAAGCTGTAGAATGTGATATGTTTCTGTTTTCAGTGCAATTTACTTATAAAAGTGGTTTTCCTCTTGGTTATAAGATTTACTCTGTGAGATGTCTGGCAAGAAAAGATGTAAGAAATCATAAAAAGGAGAGACGATGAAAGTGAAGTCAAGGTCAAAATAAAAAGTGACATCATGTACTAAACTATGTACAGCAAGTCTTACAGGGCAAATGAAACTCAATAACTAGAGTTTTAGTCATTCTGAATATTGCCAAGCAATAAATTTACTGGCTAATACATTCATCAGTGCAAAGTACTGCAGAAGGTGGCCACTGCTCCACTCCTTGTGCCATACCTCCCCAACTACACTCAGACACTAGAAAGCTCTTCCTGCTAAAAAGCTGCTACTAAGGAGCTTTGTGAGGTCCTGAGCTTGTGCAAATTGCTTCTTCATCACCTACACAATAGGCTACAGATGCTAGTTCACAGAGTATGCTCTAAGGCACCTTTCCTCTCCCAGGTCTTGAGATAACAGGAGCAAATGATTACGAAGCTGAAAGTCAGGAAACCAGACAGATGGGCTTAAAATACTACCTACACTGACAGATTTATGCCAAAGAAAGAAAATGTAGTATATCACAGGTTTTCCTGGCAGGGATGTTTAACTGTGTTTGGCTGAAGGTGGCAGTTTGGTATTTCTTAATGTTTTCTTAAATACATTAACTCAAATTAGGTCTTAGCTAGGATCCTAGACGCTTTATTTATTTAAAAAAAATAAAAAGGGGTTTATTACTGGTCCAAAATTTTTTCTAAGGCAAAATATAGGACAAACTTCCATGGTGCTTTGGAACTAGATAAAAATCTACTCTTTCTCTACTATTCAGTAAATAAGGGAGGTTTTTTTTGAAGTTGAGCCTTATTTTGTCTCTCTGTATATTTCTAGACAAAACTACTCCCTTTACTCAAGTACTCAAGTTGGTTTTGTTTTTTTAAGACCACTGTTAAATGGGCAATTTGGTTTTGGTCTCTGTTCAGACTAAGTGGCTGCTGTAATGAGAAAATCTGATGTCTTAGCCCACCCTCTAACTTTGGGCATGTCACTGGATACAGCACTTAAATGGACATGTCACAAGGGGCCAAGAAGAGGAAACAGAAGACGTGTGTGGGGAAAACAAACACAACACCTCATTCCCATTGCAGAATATCAGATGAGCAGACAAGAATCACCCAAGGATCAGAGACACACATCATCCAAGGAGCAGGGACAGCTCTGCATGGGTGAGCAGATGGGAACACAGCACTCTTTGGTGAACATCTGGGTCAGGATGCTAAGGAATGGGACAGGGTCTTATGCAGAATTTGTCAACGAGAGAAACTGAGGCGATTTCAACAGGCAACTTTGATGAGTTGTTGTGAACATTCAGAATACATCTGCTCTCTTACAGTATGCTAGATGAGTCACATTACTCCTCTCTCACCCCATCCCTCTGAGCCCAAGGAGGTTTACCAATATTTGGATGCTTTAGAAGTCGACAGATTCGAGCTTCACGTTCCAGTTTCTGGTGGTCTGAAACAGAATAAGAAACAACGCATTAAGCACCACAACTCTGAACTAAGCTCTTGCTCATATTCAACAGAGAGAGAAATATAGTAACCCACCAGACATCCAGAGGACTGGGAACTGCTGGAACTCTCTCCCAAAACCCCACAGTCATTTTAGGTGAGGGCTATGCAGCTGAGACTGTACAAGGACCACTGCTCCTGCTACAGAACTAGCACTAAATTCATATTGCATCCTTTGATTCAAAGTGAGTAGCTGTAGACAAAAAGACACAGCTCATCTTCCACAGCTTCACAAATACGCAAAGCCACTTCCAGTGACATCCCTTCTGAGATTTCTCCCTTCCTCCAAGGGTAGAGAGTTGGGGGAAAAATCTCAGAAGAAATAACCCACATGAAATGGGAAAAGGAACTGCTTCCACTCCAAAGAAACACTGTGAAAGAAGGGCAGAGTATGAGGGAGAATACACAGCTCCTGCTAATGCACAGCCATCACATAAAGTAGGGAACTCTGCCAGCTTCAGTGAACTGTAAAGGTAACCATACTTCAGTACCCATGGACAGACTCTCTGGTGAAATGCTGATCACGCACTTCGAAATCTCCAGGCAAGAAGTTCTGTCCAAATGCTAAGTATGCTTATTCCAGCCCAAAGGCAACATCAGTTTGAGCATGACATTCATCTGGATTAAAGAAAAATACCAAGGAGAGTAAAACATGGTTTCTCCTCCCATGTGCAAGTTCATGGAAAGGAACGGGAGCTAAGGCAACTCTGGCCTTCTCAGCCAAGAAGCAGGAGGTCTCTTAACCACTGAGATTTTTCACGACAGCAGTGGTTGAGTCCTCAGTTTTCATTACAAAACCCTCATCTTCTCAAATGAAATGCTTATACTGGGCAAAGTGCAGATTCACTGAAATGATCTGAGGGAGACAAAATCTTTTAGGCCACCCTGGCAGCTGCTAAACCCTAGACTTTTGGGGATGCAGATGCCTAGAATGAGAAAACAGGCAAGAACTTCCAAGTCCTTGGACTCCCCATTCCAACCATCCAAAGAACACAGCAAGGGGAAGGAGCAGTCCCTGCCCACTCTTGACATTTCCCCTGCAGCAGATCTTCAGGACACAGGCTTGAAAACACACCCTCTGCATCCCTGTGACACACAGACCTCCACAGGAGTAAGCAAGACCCTTGGACTACTCAGCACATCACTGGTACGAATGCAGCATACTCTGACTTACAGGAATCCCACTAGAGACCTACTTCAACCAAGTTGCACTGCACTGCTCTGCCTGAGAACTGCCTGTTCAGCTCCTTGGTCTCTGCATGGTCTTCCCTTCTGTTTGCAAAGGAAGGCTTTGGGCAACTGTTCACTTCCCCATGAGCAGAAGACAGAGACTGAGCCAAATCTCAGTGCAGAACACTTTTCTCTCCCAGGCTGGGAATAGCAGCTCAGGGCACTGCAGGATTTCTGTCTTCTTTTCCACTGCTGAACTGTAGAAAATGTCCCAATTAATACTTTATAGGGCTGAGATGTGCTTACATCCTCATCTGCTACTGTTCAGGGATGGGGGAAGGTAAATTACTCCTTTCATCTCTTCCTTCTCAGTCCTGGAAATTATTGTTGTTGTTGCATATATTTTACAGTTCTATGCCAGAACCACTCTCCAATAAAGTAGCAGGCAGCAAGAAAGCCTGGAGAGCTTCCATGCTCCTGAGGCCTTGGTGCAATGCAAGCACTTTCTCACCTGTATCACTAGGGAGGGGTGGGGGTGCCTTAGCTTCCCTTTTAGGAGCATCTCTTATAAATGAAGCTTTGCAAAACACAGTTGCAAGGCAACAGACAGTGCTGCACACTCTGCACTTGGGACAGATTCTCACAGCAGGTCAAGAGTTTAAGGTAAACTATCCACAGCCCCCTCACACGCTTGGGTCTTGCAGATTCCCCACTTTCCCTCCCAGCTCTACTTGGAACTCCTACAGAAGGAGATCCTTCATCTGCCCAGATCACATTGCCCTTGTGCACAGCTACACTTGCTGAGAATCTGTTCCCAAGTACAAGGACACAGAGCAGCAGACAGCAAAAACAGCTGAGCAAAGGGGGAAGAAGAGGCAAGAGCTCACCACGTGCTACTCAGCCACTGAGTCCTGACAGCCAGGACAGACAGCTGACAAGAGCAAGGCTCAAACAAAATGACATAACCATCAAAATGCCACGGGAGATGTAAATCAAGAGCAATTGCTCCCCTGAAATCCTACACCATCGTGCAGAGGGAGGGGAGCTGGCAGGGCAGCTAGTGTTCATGGGCAGCAGCCACACCAGAACTTGTGACAAGAGGTCATCACCCCACACCCCATCCCTCCAGCACCACACAGCCTGGCCGGAGACCAGAGGAGGAGTACAGCACTCTGGTCACAAGGTACAGGAAACTATTTCTGGTCGGGGGGAAAGCATACCACACTCTTCTGTCTCCAGGGCAACAAAACAGGCCAACTCAAGCACAACTCACAGAGAAAAAGCACACTTCAGCCCCGAGAGCACCAGCCCGCAGCAGTCAGCCGTCGCAACCGAGAGCAGCGGAAGGTCAGGCTGGGTGGGTTTCCAGCTGTAGGTCCTGGAGGATTGCAGCTCCAGTTCCTGCAGGATCACCCATCCCCTTCCAGGCAGCACCAGAACACAGCCCGACCGGTCACTTGAAAAGAGCTCCCCCACCCCATCCCCAAAGATCTTCATCACCTGGTGGCCTTTAGCACGGTGTACGCATTTGCATCTCATCAAATCAGCAGGAGGGTCAGTTTGGTACTAGTAGGGAACAATCTGGTACCTAAATGCATAAGCAGTAAACACAGAGCTGCAATTTTCTACCTCACTCTGGTCTAACAAAGGTTATTTCCAGTAGGAGGCAAACCCCCCCCAAACTTTTGTGCGTCCAGCAAATCAGTCAACGGGTGGGCTTTAAAACTTCTCTTATACAGGATCTCACTAAACCTTAAAAATGGCAAAGTAGTCTTAACTATATTAGAATAACGATGACAAGACAATGTGGGTGCCTTACCAAAGCTTGCAAAGACTTTCTCCTCCCTCTGCCTCAAAGATGAAACTTATTTCTGCAAGTCATCTGTGGAGGTGCCTACTCCTAACGGCCAGTGGAAGTACACCTCATAGCTAACAGAAACACAGCAACACATCTGACCTACCTTACAGGATCCCAGGCCTGGGACATTGGGCCTATTTCCCACCTTTCACACCACTATGGAATTCAACCAGTAATTTCCATAACTTGCCTAAAATACAATATATCCTTTAGAAAAGGTAAGAGTTCATATTCAAGACTTGAAGTGATAAGTAAAGCCATACACCCACAGAAATTACTCCAAATGTTAGTTATCCTTCCTGCTAAAATTCAGCTCTGCTGTTCCAAGTCTGAATTCATCTACCTCCTGCTTCCAAATATTGGATTTCATTAAGCTCTTTTCCTGCTACGTTAGAGAGCTGTCTAGCCCTGAACAATAGCTGATGCTTAAAACTTAAGTACAGGATATTACAAACACTCATCTAATATTCATTTACTGTTTTCCAGCCAAAAAAAAAAAAAAATCTTGCTATTTGGAAAATTATTCTATCTGCAGTCTGAAGCAATGAGTCTCTGCACAGACACGAAAGTGCAGCCTCTGTAGCTCGTGTTGAAAATTTTAAAATGTAAATGGTTAAGGAGATGGTGCTTAAAAACAAGATAAAACTTTCTCATGTTTGATACACCAACTAATGTGTGAATATCTACTTCTCTTTATTAGTCCTTTACATGATGTAATTTCTGCATCTTGGCTCATCATGTGAGCCTACATTTAACCTAAGTACCTTTAACATTACTGCCCTCCAAATACCGTGCTCTTGTTCTAGTAGCACTAATAGTGAGTTTCTTTAGAACGCACCTGATGAGAAAATGCCTGTTCAGAGAACTGGGATTTCTCTGGGTTGGGCTTTGATTTGGCTAGGGATTGATTTTAATCGAAAACAAGAATGATTGTGTTAGCATCAGTTGTGAGAGTTAAGGACCTGCAAAACTGAAACTGCTTCATTTTATACAAACATGCATCGGGACAGGACTGTTGGTACACAATGGATGGACAGAAATGACTGTGCACAGTTAATACAGTCACAGCTGTAAGAATCTCTAATGGAGCAGGTTAAAACAACAACAACCCTGCCTGAAAACAGCAGAAAGCAGACCAAAACCATGACAGTTTGGTGTTTGTCCTAAATGCATCAAACATCAGCAGATACAAAGGATAACATGACGTAAAAAGAAAGGTGTACCCAACGGAAATGAGAAAACAAAATGCAGACAGCTTTACTTCACGAAAACCTGGCAATCTCCAGCAGGGTGTGGAATATGACTAGTTTTATACCGATGGACCTTTCATACTCTTCTGCAAGAAAATAATTTCGCTGTCTGACTGCTTCAGTCTGCTATCCCAAAGATGCAGTGGCAGAGACTGATAAACAACGTGAGACCCAAACTCCGGGCTCCATTCTTCTCCAGGGAAATGATTCCCAGATTTCTACTGTAGTCACTACACTTATGGCTGCTTTGCAGGAGGTTTTTCCTCCCCAGGTCTTTCTCCTCCAAGGGTACACAAGACCTAGAGAACATTTTCAGAAACAGATAGGGTACAGGATATCTATAAATCCCAGAGCTTTGAACTGAGAACATTTACATAACAACAAAAACAGGAGGAAAAAAATGATGAAGAAAAAGGTCACTGTGCCTAATCAGCCTGTTAGGAAGCTGTGCAAGGAGAAAGGGGCTGCCAGGGAAGGACAGAGCCCTGTCTGCATGGAGGTGAGGTTGCTTGCAAAAGACAGAGTCTGAAGATGGACACCTACCACAAACCCAAGAAGGAGATTAGTCCCAAGCAGGCAGGGTGAGGGCCAAACCTGAGACAGCAAGCAGGAGGAGACGGTTAGGTGTCAGGTGCCGACACTGCCACTCTGCACAGGCAGCACAGC